CGGCAGTCTTCTGAGCCACAGAGTGTGGATTTGCGACTCCTCACGGAGAATACGTGCCGCATTTCTCGTCCTTTTTTATGCCACCGTTTTTATTTATTTTTTAACGTTTTACTGTTTGTTGATTCTTTCAATGTTTTTACTTTTCAATGTTACCTTTAATGCAGTTTATCTGTTATAATCAGTACTGTTGTTTTTTTCTTTACGCGGTGTTCGGTTGATAAATACCGTGATGAGTGATTTGCTTCCCCCTCTTGTTTGCCTTTTTTTTTGCCCACACGCGGTGCCGGCCTCATTGCTGTGCGTCCCACGGACTGCCCGAAAGGGGGAGCGGAGGAACAGGCCGGATGCCGCATGAAATGTGAGGAATGTTGTGTGGGCTGGTGGAACAGTACGAACACTTTTCTTTAATTTTTGTTGCGCAGGCAATATTTATATACAGAAACACAAGGTCGTTTCTATTGCGTTGCATGGCACATGAAATAAAATTTCTGCCGAATTAAATTTCCCTAATTATTTCTTTTGAGGGTCATGCCGGAATCTCACTTTTTCCTTTTATTTGGTAACTCACCGCAGCGTGCCTCCATTGTTACCGTATCCACTGTCGCTGTGTGTCTCCGTGTCCCGTTGAGTGTCCCTCTGCTGGCCGTGCTGTTGACATGCCCCCACTTCTTCCTTCCTGCTAGTGGCACCGATGGTCCGCGACGACGATTGTTTGTGCTCCCCTTTGCGATGGCACGAGGGTGACTGGGCGCTGGCCTGCTGAGTGCGCTCGGAGGGAAGCGGATGGTGTGTGCAGTGCGTCACTGTGAGTCGTTCTGCCAATCCGTGGGTGCGGAGGGAAGTAAAGGACTGCAGCGTGGACTTGGATCCGCCCGTCTCTTTCGTTGCGGCCGTGTGTGTGCTGGGCGCATGGCTCTATCTTGCGGTGCGACGTGGATGGCATTGCTTTTGTTTGTGCCCTTGTGCATGCGCTGTGCGGCGGGCTTCTCTTCCCCATGACACCGCCCTTGTGTGCGGGCGAGTGGAGGGAGCGGAGGTGTGAGGGAGTGAGGGTGGCCGTTGTTTCCGCACATTTGGATCTTCCACAAAAGTGGCATTTTTCGGCAGCCTCTCGCAGCACTACGACGCCGCCGGCTACACGACGTTCTGGTGCCGCTACAAGTACAACGAGGACAACAAGATGCAGTGCATGACGGCCAACCTGTTCCGCGGGTGGTTCCAGCGCATGGAGCACGTGCGCAAGTACGCGTTCGGCGTTGCACTAATGATTGGGAGGAGAGGCGGCACGACATTGTGGCGCTGTGGGTGTTCCGCGGCCGGGGCATGCCGGCGATTGTGGAGGACGTGGAGGACACGGAGCTGTTCGACTGGGAGGAGGTCGCCGACGTCGCGGCGCAGCGGGAGCGCATCACGGACTACCTGTGCTGGGAGGGCCCGACGATCCCGAGGCCTGTGCTGGAGGGGCGCGTTTTGAAGTGAGCGTGGCGTGCTGTTGAGGGACGGAGTAGAGAGAATAACGGTAATAGTAACTGTGGGAGTGTGAGGAACGGGACAAGGGCGAGGAGCATTTCTCTTTTTTTGATTGTTGTTGAACCGTGCCCACCTAATTGTTTTTGTGGTGATGCGTGTCTCTCATATATGAAGGGTAATTGTTGTGTTCTCTTTTTCTTTTTTTACTATTTGCTTATCCTTGGTTGTTGCGAGTTATTTATTTTTTTTTCTTTCCTAGCTTTGTGTAAGGAATATTTAGCGGTTTTGGAGGTGCAGGTCTGATTGTGACGAATTCTATTTTGTAGGGTAGTAACGTTTCTAGTGTGCTATATTGTTTTTTGTGGTTTTTTGTTGGAGAGAATTTGAGAAGAATTAGTGGCAATTACGGGGAATGGGGTCGCCAAAGTTTATTTTCGCCGCGGCAGCTGGGGCTGCTGTTGTGGGCGCCACAGTTTACTTTGTGGTACGGCGGGGGCGAATGGATAAGGGTGGAGAGGATGATGACGCCTTCGATGGGCCTGTCGTCAGGAATGGAGAGGTGGCGATTGCAAGCAAAGCGGATAATGGTTCAACCAAACTTCACGGCAGCGCTGCCACCACCACCACCACCCCTGGAAGCAATGAAAGGAAGGAGGAACCTCAGGTGCGGGTCAAGGCCGGGGATGTTTCTTCGGTGGAAAACAAGCTACTGGCGGAGGCTTTAAATGAGATTGATATGCATGATGCAGTTGATCGGACAACAACTTACGGAACCGGCACGAAGAGCTTTACCATTAATGAGGCCGGTGGTAAAGAAAAGGAGTTTCCACTTCTAGGTTTGTCAGTGAAGTTGCCAAATGACTGGGAAATACGGGAAGATCTTTCCCCTTTTCCGAATGTGGCGATGCTGGTGGTGTTTAATAAGGATATGAACCCTGAAGATGCACAGCAGCAGCAGCACCAAGAGGCTGGGTCGGTGCCGATGATTGTGATATCCGTAGAGGATGTCCGAGGGGACAATGTTGATCTGGTTGAATTTAAGGAACGCTGTAAAGAACTTGCCATGAATCAGATGCTCATGATGACTGGTGGAGCCATTCAACCCATAATAACAAAGGACTCCGCGGTGCAAGAAGGACCATTCCGTTACGCCTTGGAGTACGCACAGTCCCTCCCACCTCTGTATGAGATCAAGGTTCTGAATTTGATGGAGGTTCGAGACAGCATTGCGTACACGTTTCAAATTATGTGTGCGCCCAATATTATGCCGAAGTTTAAACCCACATTTATGAAAATGGCTCAGGGTATGCGGATCAAGGAGAATATTGAGACTTCCCTGGGATATGTGGAGCTGCACACGGGTGAGGTGAAAGTGGATATTGACACCACTTGGGGCTGGGAATATCCGGGCAAGAATGGTTCACTTGCCACATTCACCACGTCGTCGAATTTTAAAAAGGAAGAAATCAGCCTATATAAGCAGGACGCGGTCCCTAATTCAGCGTATAAACCACGTGATGAAAAAACTGTTAATGGTGTTGTCATTGTCTCTGCGTTTGATGGTGCACAACAGCAAAAGATGTTCACCTACAATGGTTATACATTGGTTGTAAAGCCACTGCAAAAGTCCAATTCACATCTTGCTGAAAAAGACCTCGTGGCTGTTCTGAAGTCTGTTACTCTTTCATCGTTGCCTCCTAAACCAAAGAAGGGTGGCACGTTTGTGAATGCCGAGCACGGCTATAAGGTGGATATTTTGAGTGGTAGTCGTCTTGTGGCGAGCCGCATTGGCGGTGGCTCCGTCGCCTACGCCCCGCACAGCATAGCTGAAGGGACTGCCTCTGAAGAGCAGCCACCTGCCGTCACAATTCGTGTGGGTACCCCTGAAGGCGATCCTGACTGCATGGGCTCCTTGGATGAATGGATGGCTCGGATGAAGCGGGAGGCAGCAGATAGCGACATTAGGGAAATTAAGAAAACGACCATTAACGATGAGCCTTGCCTGACGTTTGTTTCGCAGAACATGGAAGAAATTGCACCAGGGCAACGAATGGAAGTACGTGGGAAGGTTTTCATTTTTGTTCGCGACGGTAAGACGACGCTGTTACGATGGGAGATGGCGGTGGGACTTTGGAGGAAGTTTGAACGGGAGATGAATGCCTTTGTAGAATCCTTAAGATTTATTTAATAAAAGGCAGGAAGGGAGGGAGTAACGATTTGTGCTCGCTGTGTGTGTGTGTGTGTGTGTGGGTTTCGATGATTGTTCGGTGCTCTGGTATAATGCGTGTTTCCAGTCGGCACACATAAATGACCAAAGGGGACGGAAAAGGCATTGAAAAAGACAAACTGAAGCACACACACACACAGACAGACACTGAGCACAATAAAATAAAATAAAAGAAAAGACGAAAAAAAAAAGAAAAAAAAAAAAAGAAGAAACAACAACAACAAAAAAGAAGACGAAATTTTTATCGGAAAACTCCAGTAAAATAAATAAATAAATAAATAAATAAATTATTATTTACATGAATGAAGGGAATAGACGATAAGATGAGGCGGCGGATGTTGGCGGAGGTTTTGTCTGCTGTTCTAATGGGGCGGGGAAACGGAAATATCAGCAAGAGGGAGAGCATTGAAAGTGCGGGGAACTGAGGATTGTAATTATTATTTTTTTTTTTTTTTTTTTTGAAAAGTGGGGTGTGTGTGGAAGAAGAAAGAAGGAAAAAGAAAGAGAGAAGAACAACACAATGAGCGGAGAAGGGGGAAAAATAATAAATAAATAAATAAATAAATAAATAATTTTTTTTTCTCTTTTTCTCTCTGCGTGCATGTCCTATTTGCAGGAAGGAAGACGTGCGGCGTTGCAGTCGCTATGGCTTTTCACCCCCTAATGGGCTTTTCTCGCCAACGACTTTCTCATATGTACCTGCACCGACGAGCCTGCTATCTCAAATACGAAGTGATAAGATGAATAAATTGAAAGAAGGAGAGAAGTAATTCGGCATTTACACCCGTGTTGATGGGAGAAATGGGTGGAGAAGAGGTGGTTAGGAGGGATAAGTAAACTCTGTTTTTTTTTTTTTTTTTTTTTTTTGGTTGTTTGTTTTTGTTGTTGTTGTTGAATATGTGAGAAGCATCCCGCATTAATAATTAATTTGTGAAAGGAACGCATGTAAACATGCAGGAATTGAGAGAGAGAGAGAGAGAGAGAAATAGAGAGAGGAAGGAAAAAAAAAAAAAAAAAAAAAGTGAAGGAAAAGAAAGGTTGAAAAAGGGGGGTATTTAGGTCCATGGGCAGAGGTATGTTCGTAAAAAGGGAGATTTCGTAGTAGTGGTGGTGGTGGTGGTGGTGGTGGTGTGGGGGAGGGGAAAACTTTTAACGCATTCTGCTGCGTAAGATATGAGGCACAAGAACAATAAGAAAAAAAAAAAAAGGTTGGAGGGAATATTCTCTCTGCATGTCCGTGTGGTTGTTGCTAAGCCCATTTTCTTCTTATATGAACACCGTTCATTCATATGTATATGTATATGTAGATACACTTTTGTTTTTCTCCTCTTCTCTTTCTGTACGTATGTTTCTTTGCCTTTCCCCCGCTTTGTGGCGGAAAAGTAATATTATCAGTGCCGAATGCACCGCGGCAAGCCGGTGGTGATCGCGCTGGATAGTGAGTTTCTCAAGACACATGGTCATGTGCTTACGAGAGCCGTAGCCTTTGTCCCCTTCTCGGCCAGAAAAGGAACTTCAGGAAGTGAGCATCAATTTGATGGCAGTGTCGTGGCGACAAGTACTTCTCTCCATTCTTCCTTATCGCCGTCATTGCCGGTACCGAAGCGGCAGGCATTTCGGCGAGCAACTGTATTTGGAGTTCCCATCATTTTGAACCTCGATCCTGTCGAGGTGATGCGCCGAGCAGACGTTCTTCCTTGTGGGCATTCTCTCGCACTAGAACTGCGCACGGGGTTGGTAAGTGGAGAAAGGCTCAGGACTCTGCAGGAGCGACATGCACGATCCGACAGCAAAGCTTTTTTGAGGAGGACGGAGGAAGCGACGACGACGACAACGACAACAACAACATTTTCAGGTAATCGTGCGTGGCATTTGGAGTTCAACTCTCTTTGTCCCTACAGCATTCCGAATATTCGACGGGCCGATCATTCGTGGTTTAAAGCAATTTACTCTGCTTCCGTGCATTCATCGGAGTTTCGCGGGGCGGCCATGTGTTTAGATCATCTGAAAACGTATGGTAAAGGAAGACGTCAGGAAAGATCCTTATCATTTTTGTTACGACATCACCCAACGCTCCTACAAGAAATACTTCGGGTTTCTTTTTCTTCTGCCGAGGCGTGGTGTGCATGGCTAGTAATGTGTGGGGATTTGGTAGAGAAGGAATTGCGTCAATTAGCAGAGAAATACCGTCAGATGTCGTCATCCCCCTTTACTCCATCGATATTGATGGAGTACGATCCAAGCTATAAAGGTGTGCAGTATAAAGAATGTGGGAACATGGAGGAGTTTTCGTATGAGTTAAGTCGTCTCTGGTATATTTTACTACGTCACGGTGGTGAGGTTGGTACGAAACTGTACACTTACGGTGACATGGATGCGAAAGCCATACAAAATACTCTGCGACTAAGTTGCTGCATGAAAACTCGATATTCACCTCGGGCATCGCAAAGTGCCCGGTTGTGTTCCCCACCCTCTCAACTCACTGGAGCGGATGAAGCCAGTAATAATAAAAGTGACAGCCAGCATGTATTGAATCCGCTGCAGCCTGAATCGGGTCAACTTCTCACTTCCCCGTATGAGGCCAAAGTGGTAGATGTCACACGGCACACACTTTTTGCCGCGTCCGGGTTTCGCACATCGCCAAGAGTCATTCCACCGTTGGGTGATGCTTTAGAAAAGGCTGCAATTGTCGATGAGGCCGCCGTGCGTTTGCGCTCGCAAAGTGATCCACACAATCCTGTATGGGACGCGAAGGCTCTTGCGTGTATCACCGTTGCTTGTGGAATTTGTCTGGGGTGACGTGTCTTTTCTCTTGTTGACGATGTTGTGCGTTGTTTTTCTCTCTGATTGTGCGTGTTGGTGTATTTCATTTAAAAAGGAGAAGCAACTGGAAAAAATCGAAATATATATATATATGGGGAAAAGACTGAGAGATAATAGAGTTCCATAGATGACATAACTTTGCATGTTTGCTCATGATATGAATGTGTACAGTTTCTCTTTTGTTTTTGCCTTTTTCCCCCCCCCCCCCCC